AGTAGTACTTTATATTACAGAAGAATATTAATCAGTAAGTAATTTTACTATTATATATAATTATCAGAATGAGTTTTTGTGGAGATTGTAGTAATGTTAATATTTGAATTAATGAGTCGATTTAGTCTAGATCACCGTTGAAAAGATGAATTTTCTGAACTTCTATTGAGAAGCAGTGATCAATGGATTTCAACTGTGTCTGTTGACAGGCAATTACTCACTGAAGAAAACGATCGCGCAATATAATGGATTGGTTGAAGTTAGACAATAACACCATTGGATGTCAGATCAGTGGTTTACGGGCTAGGTATTTGCGTGCGAGACCAAAGGTGTTGGGTTCGAGTCACACGTGCGGGGTTTTGGGTGCGCTTCGCTGAGGAGTCCCATGCTAGGACGAAACGGCCGTCCAGTGCTTCCAGGTTTTCTATGGTGGTCTAGTTTTATTTGACTCACGAATTCAACTATAAAAACACTTTTGGATTAAATTTATTCAGTGCCAATTTACATGCTGTTTATTTAGAAAAACTAGTAATATTACCTTGCTGGAATTCACATCCTCAACCTACTAGTCAAGAATCAGGTACTTCGACACTATGTAAAATGGTTGATGTACACTCCTAATTCTTTTCAAACTATAACGAGACATTAAATTAGTTCTGTCTGATTGTAGTTATTGTTAAATGTAACTGAAAGCATCCCTCGTAAGCAGATATATAAGGTAATAGCTCACATTCGACTATATGCATCTGGTTGTTATATTATTTTCATGTGATCTAACTCAATCGTCAGATGTACACCTCTTTGATAACTTTATGATATCCAATAGTTACTGGGGTTGAATGGCGATAGATAATATTTCTAGTTCGTTTATATTACCCGTTGACATCTGTTATGACTTTATGTCCGGCTTTTTATCACGTGATTTATCCATCAATCAAAATACGACTTGTACTATCTTAACATTGTGCCAAACCAATGAAGTTCGACCGATATGAGCAGCCTAGCGTCCTTATTGGTCCTATGTCCGCTTAGCCCGTCCACTTGAGTCCAGAACACAAATACCATCTTCCACTACGCGAATCATATATTTCAAACATACTGTGTTTATATATCAGAATCGGTGTTCACTCTGGGACTCGAATACAGTACCGTCCGCTTCAAACACCATCGCGTTATCCACATAGCCACTTCCTCTTGCAGTCGAGTGAAGTTTAAACTAACTTGGTATTGTTGTTTACTTAAATATTCCCACTGATGTTTAGGACTGCAGTTGATCAGTCTCTTATTGACACATGTGTATACTGTGTGGATTGCCTCGATATTGTCTTAATTCACAAGAATTCTAAGCAAATATGGGTAGTGGCTGGTCGTGCAATCTACGATGCGCGTTTCGTCCTATATTTGAACTCGTCAGCTGGATATACCTGCATTTCAGAATGGGTGTTCACTTAGGGACTCGAACCTAGTACCATTTGCTTCAAATGCCATCGCGTTATCCACTTAGACCGACCAATCGGAGCCATAAACATCAATGAGAAGATTCAAGTACACAATATCAAGTGAACTGCATCAAATATTTCGATAATCATTTCATACTTTCAATGTTATTGTGTCTCAATCTATTGATTTTCTTATAGTATACTGTATACGCCAATTAGGTGTTTCGTTCTTATTGTATCAATCTGCAAAACTACTATCAATCTATGTGTGTTGAAAATAACGTGATTCCAAAGGTTTCTGCATAAAATTAGATGAGTAATCTATTAACGTAAACTAGGATTAGAACAACTAAAAATATGCAAGAATTCGTTTCATTTTGTAAATCTATGGAAGTTTTTTGAATATTTTTAAAAACGAGAATGAGTATTATAGGCAAAGATGAATAGTGGGTAGCAGTGGAGTCCAAGACGTGCGTTTCGTCGCACTTAGGACTCGTCAGCTGGATGAACGGTGCTGGGTTCGAGTCCCAGGGTGAACATCAATTCTGAGATGCAGGTACATCCAGCTGACAAGTCCTAAACAGGATGCAACGTGCGTCCTGGATTCCACTGCTAGCCACTATCCATCTTCGCTTATAAAGCTTGTGACTTCAGGCAATATCGAGGCAATACGAACAGTATGTACATATGTCAAAAAGAGACCGATCAATTTCAGTCCTAAAACAATAATGGAAAGATACAAATAAACAATATCAAGTGAAGGAAAACAAGTATATCAAATTTTCGGATAATCAAACACCTCTGAGAAAACCAAATGATCATAAAGTGATGAAAATTGTGTGGGAATGTTTTTGAAGTCAGATAGTAATATTATCTAAACAATGTCGACTGGTTATTGGTACTTGTTAAGTTTTCTTCTGTAGGATTTTCTAGACAGTTTTTTCACAATAAAGATACGGTACTTCATGTCAAAATGAATAAAGCTTTCTGTCCCAGAAATCTGAGTTTGCAATGTTTAACAGCTGACATGATAACGATCATACTATTGGTGGCTAATAAGAATGTATGTTGATCTATCAAACGTTTGGAAATAAAACATGTTTACTTGCAGCCTAACAATAGATTATATCAACATCTCAATAGAACTTATTAATCATGGGTAATGGTGAGGTGGTAGATTATTCACCTAGATAAGATCACTGACACCATGTCATTATCTAGATCGATATGGGAAAAGATGAATAACGAAATAATGAGCCAGTCCAACCAATAAAATTACTGAACAGGCGTTTCATCCTAGTACAAGGTCGTGAAGGCGTATTGCTGAAAAGTCGTCAATTAGGATGAAACGACCATCATATGCTTCCATAGTCCCAATAGTTGTCTAACTCAAATCGATGCATGGTTTTAGTCAAATTAAACAGTCCCTAAAACCCCAAACTCCTAATTTGTTATTGTTCAAAATTTTAGTTTACATGCTTCTCAACAATCTTTAATCTATACTGTTTGCAAATATGAGTTAGTCTGGCATTAGGAAAACCATAGTAACCTAACTGAAATACACACGCACGCACACACACAACAAAACAATGTTACCGTGTGATCAATTAATTCAAATCAAAACATGGTAACGTGATATAAATCAAATTCACTTGCCAATTTCAAATAAATCCATGCTAACATAGAAAACAAACTGGTCCAACACACACAGCGACATCATGACAATAACCATAGTTATCAACTATCTGACAGACTCAAACCATAAAACTCTGAAAGGTATCAGAATACAAAATCAATTTACCTAAATCATAAACTTTTCAATCATTTCCAAAATAATAAAACTAATAGCTTATCATTGGTAATGCAGTAATTACTTTTGGTGAAATCCCCCCTTTACAGCATATAGTTACAATCTTTAATATTATAATGATTGATATTTCCTTAATGTATAATGAATTACTTATGTCAAGTATTGTGCTTAACAAACAACAGCTCTTTTAGGAAATCTAATGATGCTTTATCATGTACATAATAAATGAAAAGTTTGCATTGTTTCGATGAAACCATTTGAGCAAATTACGACACATGTAAATACATCAGATGATGATGATGATAACTTGTACAAAGTTGATATCACACTTGATTATATTTCGATGGAGATTATACAACAAACGATTAGTTTAATGATGATTAGAATACAATCTCAATTGTGCCACTTTATATTGTGTGAAGATTTCTGTTTTGGATTTTTCATCATATCATTATGTACAATGTTCATGTGAAATGATGCATGAGAATATCTTGTTTAAACATTTCACATTGAAAACTTTATCAGTATGAGGTTGTGGAGACTAATAAGTTTTTGATTGAGATCACGAATCGATTGATGTTAGATCAACATTGAAAACCTGAAAGCATTGGATGGTTGTTTTTCTTGGATTGGTTGAGGTTAGACATTAACACTGTTAGGTGAAGACTCAGTGGTTTTAGAGGTTAAGAGTTAGCGAGAGAGAGAGAGAGATCGCAGGTGCACACTGCTGAAGGGTCTCGTAATAGGATGAAACAGCCGTTCAGTGCTTCTATGTTTTCATTGGTGATCAGACATCAGTCGATTCATGATCTCAAATGGAAACTTTGCCGACAACTATAGTCTAATTCTCATCCTGTCACTTTTCAGTTTTGTATGAAGACTATAATAACACACAGTTCTTCAACGTTCGAAATTTCATCAATAAAATGTTAAATTTCATTCAGTTTTTAAATAGGATGTTATACTACTTTCATTTATATAAATAACTGGACTGACGTTAGACAGTCCACTTGTTACATGCTCTATCAATCTCTACCTCTTTCATACATCTCCCCAATTCTATATCACAGTACCTGAATAACAGTGGTTCAGCAGTGTATGACATCCTGAAGACTGCTACGAAATTTCACTCTAGTATGATCAAAGGTTTAAATGTAGCGAAAAGCTGACAAATCAAACAGGTTAAACTTGTAGATATGTCGAATAAATGCAGAGATTTTTGGTAAAATGCAACATTCAATATGTTTGCTCAAAAACTTATCAAGTCAATAATTTTCACAATTGATTTGCATATACAGAGAATATTCTCAGACAGTTTCGACTCATTCACATAACAGCTTTGATGGAGGAGGCCTGAGATAATGTTCAGCTTAAGTATCAGTTAAAATACAATGGTGATCATTGAGCTATCAATAGCTACTTGTAACTGTTCAACATGGGATTTTCTCGACTCCATCATGAACTTAACCAAGGCTATCACCTTGAGTTGACATTGCTAACGACTATAATAACACACAGTTCTTCAACTTCCGAAATTTCATCAACTAAATAATTGAACTTATAATAGATGATGCAGTCCAATCCTTATTCCATGGATCAGTGTCTCAGTGGCTTGGGGTGTTCCAGTCTCAATTACAAAGTTGCATGTTCCAACGCCACTAGGTCTACTTGTGCTTAAACAACTATGTAGTATCACTTGTCTTCACACTCAAATATATGTTTCAAAAGTTTATGCACAAATCTTTAAAAGGTGAATTAGTCAGCAAATGAAATTCCTTAATGTAGTCGACTTATATTATTCACAAACAACAAGAAATTAATGGAAATGAAATTTAATAAATTCTGTATGACAAAATAACAAAACATTTGTAGTTACCTTGATCAACGGCTTCTAAGTGACAACATTCAAAGGAGTCATTGAAAAAAAACATATCATGTCCATGAAATTATAAGCAACTGCTCATTAGAACTGTTCAATATTAAAGGTATAAAGATCACGAATAAACGATTAGATAAAGTTAAGAAAGTATTTAAACACTGATTTGATCAGTAAAATATTTTTAATTATTGAATATACTACTTAGGCTACTATTCCGTTGGAGCTACTACATGTCCAAGAAATACTGGCACAGTATTGTTCCATATAATTGAAATGAAGAATGGATGATCAACACGGAATTCCTCATCAGGTTCTTCAGATTCACATAAACAAAGATTAATAACTTCTACAGAAGTGGCTGCAGCTGCCACTGCACCTCGCTCATCCATCTATGGACAAAAATCAATAGAACTTATATTAACAATTTTTAAGTGGAAGAAACAGTAGAAATAATAACAATATTCCACGTCATCTGAAATTCCAGATTTACTCATTATCGTTTTGTCTGAAGCATTCATCAACGTGAACAATGTAAGAGGGATTAGGCAACTCAGATTTAATTATGTTGAGTCACCTTGTCTCCAACGTTAACTAAACTCTGTGAACCAATGTGGTTCCAAATCGTAGTGCGTCGTGATTGATTCTGGGTAAATAGAAATATGTGTGACATAATTGGAAATCGAAAGTCAATAACGGAAGTCAATAAACTCACGGCTCTAATGCGTCATTCAATCATGGAACACAAAAACGCTTATTGAGATATCAAGTTCATTGGACTACTGATAATACTGCAACTAAGTCCACAAAACTTCATCACCTCTAACAGATAAACAACATGACATTGGTTACAATTCGCTGATCCGTCAATTTTAATATTCAGCTCATACAGGAGATTAGTTGTAGCACAAATAGCTCAGTGGTAACATCTTCAAAAGTGACAAGGGTTGATGTGAATTCGATTTTCACAGAGGGCGACAGTTCCCCCAAGGTTCCAGTCTCAGTCTTACAGTAACAAACTATCACTGAACCTAGGTCAATAGTTTCGTTACAACCACCTCCAAACACTTTCAACACATCACAGTGCACTGCAATGCCAAGCCACCTAAACTAGCGGTCACATTGCAACTTCCTCAATAGAATTTCATCACAGTTAAAGACAAAATCAATCACTCTGTCATCAGTTACTGAAAGCACTTAATATGAAAACACTTTTCTGAATAAAACTAATCACAATGAGTGGTGAAATCTATCTCAAATATCACTAAGAAATAAAACCTGATTAGTGCTCTAATAACCATAAGGTAACCATAACGAATTGGAATGAACAACAAACTTTCCTTTATAAAATAGTCTTTCGTGAGTGACGAAAATATCAGTATCACTGATATGTGAAGTATTTTCAAGAGACTGACAAAAGCCTGTGGAAAAGCGACCGATGTAATTGAAAATAACATGCCTTCAGGTGGTTACATGGATTTTCGTAGACATGTTAATGGATTGTATTATATTTAAAGTTATTTCACGACAAAGAGGTTGAGTGAGAAATCAAGAAACATTATCTGAATGAAGTCCATCCATGTGATACAATTTTGTGGTGTTAGGCTGACTCAATATTTCGATAGAGTCCTACGAATCAAACTAGTTATCGGCTCTATATGTTGAAGGGTGTGGCTCCGAATAAATAACATGAAGCACTACTCGCAAGTATGAGTTGCTGTATAAACAAGTAGGCAGAAATCGAATCTCAACCATACTGGCTACAACCAACCAGCGCTTCAAGTTTATTTCACAATATTAACAGGTAAATGCAATCTAACAACGAAGTTTGTTGAGAAACACAAGATTTATACAACTCACTTCGAGAATAGCCTTATGAAGTATATCTCCTATACAAAAATTACTTGATTCAGACATGTTTGTAAAGTTAGCTGATCCTGGACAAAAAGCCTCTCTCATTCCCATTTTCTGTAGATAGTCTACAAGGCTTATAGCACTGCCTTCCTTCAGTTTGAACTTTGGTAAGTACAAATGTATACTGGTATCCGTAAAGTTAGAAGAAAGAATTGATGAAATTCCTTTGTCTTTACACAATGATTTCAGTAAATCAGGTAATCCGTCATTTGTGTTTGGAAGAACGACCAATAATGAGAATCTATAACAAGAATAGGTTGAAACCAAGATAATACAAGATAGAATATTAGGGCAAAATGAACAATCATCCAATATCTACATATTTAGAAACTGATGTGCTGAGAATTTAATGCCGACCAGACAAATAAAATATAGATGGCATTATATTTTCGGCATGGTTTTTGAATCAGTGAACATATCTTTTGTGGGTTTACTATGTGGTGTCAATGAATCCTCATTTTCAGTCTTGCCAGCTTTTTGGATAGATATATAATCAATTTCGTTACACTGTAATAAGTAGCAATTTTTTCGCAGTCATAACAAATTTTTTTATCAAGTCGTTACACAGCTGTCTTCAACTTTTGCATAACATATTGTAAGTCTTTTCAAACTGTATAAGATATGTATGTCTGCTGTTTGTTGTAATGACACATTAACAGTTCAAACTGAATTATTGTCGCAATGATTTCAACTAAAGTATTAGAAAGTAAACATTCACAACTATTTACACAATGACGTGAAGTAACTAAAACTGTACACCGTTGTCTTTCTAGTACCATAGATATTTACACATAAAAGTGAATAATTTTAGTATTCAACATTTTAGCAAAAAGATCAAAGTCATTTCGCAAACAAATGTTAAGTCCCTTAACCAAGACTAATCGACCTCTTTAGGTTTCTATAATATATAACTTTTGGCCTCCTTTTCAATAGTATGGATCATTCTACAAAGCTAAAGTTTGATTGATTCATTAAGCGATGTAGAAAATTCTCCAGTCCGCGGATTATTTTCTTAAGACTTCTGAAGTGCAATATTTATATGACACTAATTGATAACATGTTCCTCAAATATTTTACTTAAAAGTATCTAACAGATTGTTGTCAAGAAAACCAGATGATATCTGTCAAGAGGAAATATTATATTCTGTCACTTTTAAAGATTAATGAAAGCAAGACTGCAAAGCTGACTATAGAGAGGATGGAAAGAATCTCGTGTTAGCAGTGAAGTTTCAAGAAATGGCATAGATGGTTGCTTTCACTATTGATAGTCACTGGACTTAGTACTATACAATCGTCTATAATGAGGCTAAGGAATTGTTTGATGAAAACAAGTACATAAATCGTGTTGCTTAGTTCTTCATTTTCTCCATAGTTTTTTATCTGGTTTTAAATAAAAAGGACATTTCACGAAAACCCTAACATGTAGTTGTTCAAAATATTGAGAAACAGCAAACATAAAAACCAGGTAAAAATTATAGGCGTCCAAGTGTCTCGATGACCTCTAGGTTTGGCTAGAGCCAGTTGATTGTGTTCACGGCTTAATTATAATCAGTTATCTGATTTCGCACAAAATTTATATCATGTTATTATCGGTCAGTTTTAACTGGAAGATCTACTTAAGAAGAATTACTTCGTAAATACACAGAGTTTCGATAAATGTTAGTTATTCTATCATCTTTGCTAGTTGTGTATACACCTAGTAATCCACTTTACATTTTGAGACGTCGTTGCTTCTTAAATTGAAATGATTAATTTGTTTGATTGGGATACTATTCACCTATTAGATCTTGTAAATAAATTTTATACTTCCTGATAGTATTTTTAAGATTTTAATAATTGATTGTCAAAATTTTTATGTGCAAGCAAAACCATATGGGAGCAGGCTCGAATTTTACAATTTATGTAATCATTCTGCATTATTAGAATTTTCGGCGTGAAAAGATTGGATATATCGATATAAAGATTAACTTAGAGATAGATTATAGGCATCATTACCAAGGTTTGACTTGATAATTTCGAATAAATTTAGCATCGGGTAGACTGCTATAAATAAATAATATATTTTTAATATCCCAATGAGTGGAAAAATTAGATTTGCTGAAGTTTCGTGATTCAGTGTAAGCCAATTCTTCAGAGAACAAATAACCAAATTAAAAATAATCCAAATTTAAATAGTACACAGGAAAAACACAAGAATATTTACTGAAATTTAATCGTACATAAAACGTATACAGCAGCGTTTTATAAATTCAAAGAGGGATTACGCCTAGCCAAATGAGACAAAGCCTATTTACTTTGAGGGTACATTGTTGAAGTTTCCCAGCTAAATAGTTGATCACAACGACAAAGCCCATAACTCCTAGATGACGAAAATTAACGGTCCGTGAAATGATGTGGATTATCTGGACTCAGTAGCTAACTGGATGATGAGGTGGTGCTTGAAATATACGGTGCTGAGCTCGGCCCCCATAACGAACATCAGGTTCAAAATGTAGGTGGATTTAGACGATATAGTCTAAAACAAGGCGATCATTGCGTCCTGGACTTCACTGCCAGCCACAACCCATCTATTCTACATTAAGTCAGAGACTTTAAATATCGATATTATTTACTAGAGATTTTTCTACTCCATTCGCAGTTTAGACAAAATTACGATTGAATTAAATTATACGTTGAAGTAAACTATTTAGTTGAAAATTACTAAGCATTTGTAATAGTTGTCGAACGTTTTCGAATTTTTGATCATGAGGACTATGAAACTTCTCAGCATCTTTGTCTTACAGATCTAATGGCTGCACAAGCTCACTTCCTTGCAGTGATTTGGAAAGAAACACATCTTCTTGAGTAGTAAAATCTCATAATTCAGTACTTGAAAGAATAGCATGAGGATTCTCGTGAACAAACCTAAAACTTTGTTCACTAAAATAAAATAAAAATAAGTATTTTAGAAAGGTTTCAAAATACTTGCACTTACTTAGGACTCTTGAAAGGTATCTTGATAGCTCGTGACTTCAAATGTGGCAGGCTGACCATGCCGAATGAGGAATTAATATACATAAACCTTACGTCTATTTTTGACCTGTCTAGACGAAAAAACTTATCAACGTGAGAGTTTCGCACAGGAAAAGCCGATTTCCATAAACCTAGAAAACAAAACTGGTTATAAAATTGTTAACAAACATGAAAATTATCATCGCCAAATAAAATGAAGGATTTAAGACTTTAAAGACATTTATAGGTAGTGTAAGCTAAACAGATAGATTCACCTTTGAAATATGTAGTAGCTAACACTACAACCCGTGTGTCTTCTTCTAGAGACCCAGGTGAGAGGAGTTGTTGGATCTTTCCGTTGGTTTGTTCACTAACCCACTTGTTTATTCGTTTACGAGCACATTCTATGTCCGTCTGAAATGTCATCTACACAGATAATTAATGATTCAAAATAAAGACCCACATGTTCTATCAGTGCATTATAGTAAGTCTTCAAATAAATTTCGAATTGCTGCTTGATACTAACATCACGTTCAACGAAAAGTCCACTGCTAAGGATAATGTTAACACCACCACGTTTTGAACAGTTATTGAGAAGTTCACTTATTCCGCTATGAACTTTATCATGTTCTAAGCATTCAGATAATTGCATTGTTTTCATTATCTCAGCCTTTGTGTTCAATGCACTGCCAGACAGAACCATTCCGAGGGTAGTATAGATATTGAAAGGAGAGAGGAAAGTATTCTCCAGTTTTTCTAAGCATACTAACCAGTGTACTATGGAAGACTATCTTACTCTTGTTTTCTTCCAATATCTTCCCATAAAACTTTTCGCTGAAGTTCATAAGCGATAATTGTACATCCATCTTGTTTGAAGTTGCAGTCTGTCAAGACAACTAGAATTAATTATCTGTGTGACAAGAATACCTAAAACTATATACAAATAGATCGCTCTTTAAAATACTGTGTTGAAACTCATTATTATAATAACAAGTTATTGTCATGTAAGAAAAAAGTACGCTGTTAATGAACTACTTAGGATACACGCAAAACCTACATTGTATTAATAGTGCCCCCGAATACGGTCGAGGGTGGGAGAGTCATCTCTCCATCTCGAAATGCTTTCACATAATAACGCGTAAACAGCCACTGACAGGGAAGTCCTACTCACTGCCTTCTCGTGGTGGGGGTGTTGTCTCAAACGTGAAAGGACCAAAGGAGAATGTCCGGCACCTTAACCGAGTAGGTAGATATGGAGGATTCACGCAGGGAAAGTTGGTAAACCCTGATTCCAAACTAATCGTGCAAACGGGCTTTAGAATCCTGAGGGGACAAATGGTGTATGAACCAATTATTGGTTAGCGGCTATTATGAAACTGAATCTCCTGACTTTGCCCCACTGTTTTGTGGATAAAACTTTTAGATCAAAGGCTTTGAGAGTGGTCCCATTCACTCGTCGTTTGTTCTTCAAAGAGAATGGCGGCAAGATTATGATTTGTGGATGAACCAACTAGATCTAGGATAACAAAACTTGGATTTTGACGCAAAATTCATTCATCCACATGATTAGATAGCATTTGAGCATTATAAATGACGTCAGTTCATGATAAAAACCACAACCTTAAATATCTGCAATACAATGTTTAAAGATTAATTATACTATCTGAATGGTGTAGCGGAAAAAAATATTTTGCCAAAGACCCTAAGTGAATTTAGGAACAGCCTTGAGATTAATCAACCAAGGACAGACAAAATGCGGCTTTTTGAGAGCTCCAAGACACATAAAAACGTCAAAAACCGGTTATTAGTCTTGAAATCATTGTTAGCACCAAATGCAGAAAATTTTGGATTTAAATTACAGTGCTGCATTTTAACTTGACCATAATTCCTAGCCCAAGACTCAATACTTCCAAAACACGGAATTCATTAGAAGTCACGAGTTTCAGCAACATACTAACCATAATCGTATCTTAAATCCATACATCCTCTAGCTTAATTTTGGTTATTCGCTCGACGCTGTAAATGTGGTGTGACTTCATCACATTTGCTTCTATTATTTTATCCCAATATTGAGGACTGCTGAGAACAAACGGATCATACTAACGTTTGTACTTAAAGTTAATTATCCCTATGTTTACGATCGTATAATTCGAAGTCCGTTTTCGTTAACAGGACAAAGATAATGGAGTCTTTTGAATCTATGAATACAGTTGTATCAAAATACAGATCACTGTTGTTCAAACGAATTAAATACTATCTGGTTAAACATGGTGGTCATGAGCTCGAAGATCTTGACGATCACAGTGAAAACGCCTAACAAATTCCAATCCTCCCGCTCTCTTAACACTTAATCCAATATCCAATATCAATATGTAGTGAGCCAGTTGTTCGTACTACTCCGTGGATGAATGTATAAATATGCTTAAAATATAAATCTTTCGATTATCTCCGTGCATTATGTAGGCTAACCTCGTTTGTTTGACGGTGGTAATAAGAAGTCGAATGTGGATGATGTTGGAGTAATTTATTTTAAGCATTCCTTTGTCTAGACAGAAACTCATGATAGGAAGCAGAAACGCGAAGCGGATCGACGAAGGCTAGTGAAACAGCTCAATCTGATCAAATGTCACTCAATTTTTATGGTCGGACCAAAAATAAGTTGTAATGTGTAGGACAAGCAATCAGCACACATACGATCATATAAAATCAGTCGGGGTTAATATGCCAGTAAGTGACAAGGTTAAAATGTGGATTGAGAGGAATGAATAGGTTGATCTGTCTCAAAACCAGAATAGCCGTTGAGTGTAGCAGTGTATTTGTGAGCGATACTCTGTGTGTCATGTTATATTTGTTCGCAAACCGGAATGGAAGGTCAAAGGTCAATTCGCTATTTTCTAAGCAACAATTCTGCAATTATTGATGGTAATTGTATAGATTGTGAGAATTGATGAAAAATGCAAGCAACAACAAAAGCTGATTACAAAACAGGTCTGTTTTAACTATTCCCACAAATATCGTATCAATATGCTCGTACAAACCAATTGATTTTTTTGCTCGTTTATTATTGTTTCAGTATGGTTCCAGGTATTCGACTATGTCCAACTGATGTTAGTCTAGCCAATCAACTACGGTGGTTTCAGCTAGTTTGGTGGTTATTTGTGATTATGTGTAACTTGCAGTCAGTCTTCAGTAATAAGGATGGGTTTTTTTGGCTAACGTCATTTTTAGCAAGGTCGTATTTTACGGGATGAAGTTGACGACCTCATGCCTAACCCTCCTCTTTTACACGGGCTTAGGACTAACAGAACCCTATAAAAGCCGCAGTTGGAGGGAAGAAGACCATGCAAGAAATCGCGCTGTGAATCGGAGGCAAACATCAAAAAGTATAGGAACATTTGCCAACGATTGCCCAGGACAGAGTTCTTTGGGGACTTCTGGTGAGCGACCCACGCTCTACAAGGTGTAACAGGCTTCGGTAAGTTCTATCCTCTAGTGTAGCCTGTTTTTTTTCAGGGAAACTTTAGATCCAAATTAAGGTTTAGACTGAAGAATAGCTGTCTAGGTGGGTTAGATACTCGCACTTGCCCGGTTGAAATCAAAACAAAGTAATTGGGTAAATTGACGATCTTAGTATTTGTTCATATTTAGCCTGTCTGTCGATGAGCAAGAATAACAACGTACGTCACAGACAATACTAATAATGTTTCCCTTTATTTCTAGGATGAGCTCAACAATTCATTGAATGAATTCCATGGGATATAAGAAGTACAGTCTTATTTTTTTTTAGATTAATCACAATCATTATGTCCATCATGGTAGTCGTGTAATTTTGACTATGTATTTTCCAACTTTTAACCCTTTTCTACATGTCATATTGCAACTCTAATCATATATCATGAAATCATAGAGGATATTACATGGTCAACATTTAGTAGGCCCCAGATGGTTTGATAACAAACGAATTGAAGGTTGTAATCTGAGAGTAGAAAAAATTGTTAAGTCAACAGTATTACGAATGTCATCATCGAAAGGAGTAATCCGGTGTATCTAGAGATTAATTCCTTTCTATTTGACTCCAATATATGTTCCGTTAACTGAGTATTTCAGCAGGCTAATTTTCCTAGAGAGACAATTTATTTGCCTGAAAATATTTGAAACCCAGAATATGAAATGCCAGGAGGGTGTTTTTTATTTACCACACTAAGTACATAAGCGATTTATCCCTAAACGATACACGGATAAATATATGTGGAAAACACTATACTAGCACGAGTAACTCATAAAGGAACAAAGATACTTCGACTAAAGTGAGTGGTAAGAGCAGTAATCAATCACTTTTTATATTCTTTTCTTAATAGAAGACAATGCGAAATTTGGATGGTAACATGTAACAAAATCCCTATGAATGATTATTATAAATACATGCAATCAACCCTCACAATAACGACTAATTCCAAAATCAATGTAGGAGAGTTTCACTGCTTCACTAAATGATCCATAGGGCTTTCAATAATTTATATCATGCAGCATCTTACATTCAATTGGATTATTCATATAAATATATATATATAATCTTTAAAACTTCACTCACACGCCCACTTGTTGTGTAAGACATATTTACTGGTTTTGTAAGACAAACTACTATGGACGAATGGTTCTTAGATGAAGCATTTTAGATCAATCAATCGCTCAATACTTGTTGGTGGTTCTGATTGTTATTGTTATATGCATATAAACGTTGTGCACTAGGTTAACGAAAATTTCTGCGACACGACTTGTAATGTAATCAGCTTCTCGGACTATTTAGCTTTGTTCAAAGTTTTTTTGATTTTTATTTGCTGACATTTCCAAAACAATAAGCGAGATCGTATCTTAAACGATCGAAATTGTTCGGCATCTCAATCAACATAACCTGGTTTCCCTCATAGCTAACGTCAAATCATAGCGATAAGTAACTATTTATAATGGTCTCTCGACATCGTCATAAACCTTTGTTACGATATAACAGTCACGTAATATGGTCGATGTAAACAATGAAACCAAGAACTGTAGGAGCCAATGATCCGATTGATGACTACTTTCACAAATAGTATTGTTTCCCAACGATCATCTTTATCCTTAATCGATGGTTATTATTTTGGTATCAGTTGGCCCCTTGGTATGGGCAATGGAACAATATAAGTTTGACCAGAGGTTTGATGACAGTCATTTGCGCATATCTTCGACGTCAGCAGTCGAGCGAATCTCCTGCAAACTGTGAGTATCATTGTCAACTTTATACAAACACCGACTAAACGTTCGTACTATTATTATGGAAATGGGTTGAGAGTTATGAACTCCTTGCCGATGACCTGTGTGGTCTCTGATAACCACATGACTGGCACTCGCTTTATGGACCTATAGATAATCAATTAACTGAAGATTTCGAACATTACATCATATTTATTATTATTTCATGAGCTATGATGATTTCACGTACTTAATTTCAAATGGACTGAATTACAGCTTCTGTTTGACCTTAGGCGTATAACTAGCCTATATTCACGGTTATTCCCAACTAACCATCTATTAGCACCAATACAGATAGCTCGTCCTCTAGGTAATCAGCATCACCCTCGCTGCTATAAACCTGTTGAAACAAACGTTTTCAGTCGTCAGTACGAAATTCTGGAAGTCATCATTAGAGCCATGTGACGAACCCCTGTTTTACATTAATAACAGTCCACATATTGTAGTGCATAACTAAAATTTGCAACGCATGTGGGCAGAAGACACTTATTCTCTTCAAAATTTAAGCGGTTAACCGCCGACTAACGCTACGCGTTCCAGTGTGACCTATCAGGACACCTTGGTGTAATAGCCCATTCTTTTATTTTTTTTATGTCTAAGTAACTTGCGTCCAACAAATATCGTATGAATGTGAGGTTTATGGGAAAGAGCACCGACCCCGCACGTATTCGAACCGTTGTCCCCCAAAATGCTAGGTGACGCACTTTACCAAAAGGCAACACCGGTCCGTAGTAGACCTGACTGCAATATCTCCTTACATTAGTAAATTATTAGCGTACCCACAACTAACAGAACATCCTTTCGTCTGGGGGGCAAAGCAACTTGGTTCCTAGGCGACCGTAGGAAATATAGCCTCAATATTGAGATGGTGGATAAGATTTGTAGCTCAGGTGGATGATTTTGGTGGAGTTTTGTTCTCTGAGCTGGATGGTTTGGTCGTGGAGCTTTCATCGTTCTTCTGAATGACATCATCAGCACAAACTTCAGATAGAAGTGAAGTGTTTGAATTTCTCCATATGTGTCTCAAAGCTTGTTCTGTGCACCTCGACGTTGATTGGTTCTTATTGACCTTAAATTTGTCGTGGTTTACTTCGTTGTTTTGGTTGCGTCTCCCATTGTTTTGATTTTTGTTCTTATGCTTGTGCATGATTTTTCTGATTGGTTGATAAATTGGATTGATATCAATATGCTTGTTGATTGCTGATTGACCTGAGTGCCAGGCTTCTAAAAATTCTCTGGTGGTTTTAAAGTTTCCTCTGTCTAAGATTTCCACATTTTTCCAATCGAATGAGTGTCCGCAGTTGTTCACGTCTATTGATATAAGTGAAGAGATATCATGCCGTTTGACTGCTAATTGATGTTCATATAAGCGAAGGGCGTCCGCTTTGTCCGATGAAGTGTTTTTCGCAGTCGGCACAATTTATTTTGTAGATGATGTTTGATTTGTTTTCCTTTGTTATTTCATCTTTTGGTTCGCATAAGATTGATTGTAGTGATTTTGTCGGTTTGTGTACCACACCTATTCCGAAGGTTTTTAGCAGTCTCGTTGCGGTTTCTGATATTCCTTGTATATATGGTAGGGGATCCTTTTGTTGATTTTTGTGCTTGACTTGAGTTCTAATGCTGCGTGCGGTTGGTATTTTTTTGATGAAGTTGATGGGGTAGCCGTTCTTCTGAAATACATCCTTTAGGTATTTCCCTTCATTTCTTCGTGCTGCCAGTGTGCTGCAGTGTGTCCTCGCCCTCTTGAACAAAGTGTGTACGCAGTTGATTTTGTGAGCTCTTGGGTTGTTGCTGTTGTAGTTGAGGATTTGATCTGTATGGGTCGGTTTCCTATATACTTGAGTTTCCAGTTTTCCTGTGTCGGTTCTAGTGATCAATATATCCAAGAATGCTAGTTGGTTGTTTGACTCCTGTTCCGTGGTGAACTTGATGTCATCGAAGACGTTGTTGATCAGCTTGTAAGTGTTTTTCAGCTCACTCTTTTTGACGATGACGAATGTGTCATTTATATAGCGAATCCAAATTTTTTGCTTGATCACTTGTAATATCGCGGCTTCTAGTCTTTGTATCACTGCTTCTGCGATCAGTCCTGATATTGTTGATCCCATTGGTGTCCCTTTCGT